AATTAATTTCTTAAAATGCTATTTGTGAAAAATGGGTACCCTTCGATTTCGCTCAAATTTAGATATTGTCTTCCACTACACGTAAGGCACACGTGCTGAGAAAATTAGAGTGGGCCAACGATAACTTTGGATGATATAGCAACAAGTGGTGCAACGTAGCACGGGCGGTGGAAGGGGCCGATTTCGCTAACTCCACCTGTTTATCACCAATAACTCACGCCATAATTATCATATTAACGTTAAACTTTCAGTATCTGTCCAGAATTGAATTGCAAATCCTCCCGTGCAAGCTATAGGTAAATCGGTCCACCACTTTTCTAGTAATAGCGGTGTAAAGTCAAACATTCCTGCCGGAGTGGCGCGGCGGCCGCGGCGCCGGCCGTTGCCGCCTGAATGGTAGACTGTGCCGGCGCGGGACGGTTCCATCTTTGCACCGCGCTTCTTACCGCTGATTATGATCGATTCGTGTCAAATTTTGTGTGAAGGCTTAAAAATGTATAGGCAATCTGATGTTCAAATAAATACGAAAATCAACTAGTAAAAATTGAGTTATTAGGGTGCAAACACAAGCTGTGACTGAAACGTTTCCCGCGTCGGCCGATCCCCGCCTCTGCCGGCGCCATCTTACTCTTAGCAGGCCACTAACTGCCAAAGTTATGGTAAGATTAACTAGAGATTCTCATAACACTACAAATGTCGTATAAAGGAAGAAATAGACAAATCGGGCAGTAACTCTAAGAGCTATGGGCGTATAAACGCAAAATAGTCACTATAGCAAATTTGATCACGTTTAACCTCATTTGATCTTGAAGATATTGATCTAGGACCATGAAATTGGAACACGATAAAGTTCCCCACCGCCCCACCTACAATTCAAATTCCGTTTTTCTAATACCTTTTTGGCTAAACCGGGCCTTTCTCCCCTAGCGCTGGGAGAGTCAGGCGTATTTCCTTTTTGCAACCAAAGAAAGGCGCTGCCCGGAGAATATCCAATTTCATCATTAAATACTGACTTACGATGACCAGCTATCTTCGTGGCTTAGTAGTAAGTGTGCCGAGTGTACCCACCTCGAAAGCTAAAGGTCGCTGGCTCGCGGCCGGTCAGCCTAAGCCCTGAAGTGTTTTAACACGCATTCGTTTTTTAAAGGAAAAGGGCCACCTTTAACATGGGGATTGAAACTGAGATAGCCATCTTGTAGCCCGTGTCCGAAAACTTATTTGTCTATCTCCTTACGGCCGATTTCGGCCTCCATTCGTAGTTATCGGCAATTTTAAAAGAAAATACGCCAGGAATGCGTCCTTATCCCAGGAATGCGTTCTTATCCGACAATACAGCCACCCGCGGCGAGGCTTTGGTTTTTTACCAATCAGCTCCAACCAGCTCAGCTTTAACCAATCAGCTTATCTGACACAATCCGACGAGTCTGTCTTCTGAACGCTGATTGGCTTGAGTGTGACGTCATCGATATGCCATCATACAGTAGGTGCCGTAGAGAGTATCAACATAGTACCAATATGTTAAATAGTTTTAAATACTTTTTCGCGAATTGTGCACTTCTGGCACCAGTTTTAAAAAGAAAATGAAAAATAATAATGTCAAAATGAAAAACAACGACATCTTCATATTTCACGAAGGTGGCCCTTTTCCTTTAAGTAGCATCTGGCCAGCCGGCACCTGTCGTGCAAGGGCTAATGTTCGTACCTATCTAGGTAGCATTTGGCCAGTCGGCAACTGCCGTGAGGGCTGTACATATTTACACGTGTTAGATTAGGTCAGGTCACGTCAGGTCAGGTTAGGTTTGCTTTAGTTTGGGGTAGAAAGAAGCATCTCCGGGTAGCGCCTCTCCTTGGTTGCTAAAACGAAACACGCGAGTCCCAGACATTACGAAGTCCAAAAGACAATTACGTAGACGTCGGCCCATTCTGGATTTTTTATATGATGTAGCTAATGTATAGGAGAATAAAATATGTAAAAATGAGCAAAATCGAAGGGTACCCATTTTTCAGAAAATCAAAATTTATTTTTTGAATTTTAATTAAGTTCACTAATTAGCTAATTACGTCAATATTGTTATCCTCAAATGAAAGCCTGATCTATTCCCTCCATTTCACACTTTGTCTCGTGGTGATATGTCTAAAACTTCAGTAGTTATGACGCTTTAAAAATGATAATGTGCCTTGCCTAAGTCAATGTTTGATGACGTGTATCTCGGAGACGTGACGTCATATCTTGACAAAAAAATGTCTCCTTTCTTTTCACATATAGACATGGATGAAGTATTTACTGGATTGGCAACTCTCCCTCGATTCGCGACCAAATATCGCAGTGCGCATGCGCCAACTCCAGATAGGACGCCGGTGTTTGGCGGCTATGCGTTCCAATGATGGGACGGGGTGGTTGGGTGGTTTTTGAGCAGTTTATCTTCGAAGTTCAACTGATAAAGGATAACGGCACTGTTTTTCATAATCTTTATGAGTTGAGAAGGATTTAACTTTAACACGGGGAGGGGCCGACGGGGAGGGGGGCGGGTCGACGTCGCCCCACCCTGACGGTTTTTTCGCGATTGATCGTATGGCGCTGGGGATAAAGAGCTGAAACTTGGAACACCAGGCCTTTGATTCAAGCCGGATCTTGTGAAATCAACCACATTTTCAGGTCGGGTCAGATCACTGACCTATGACGTCATACGTAAACCTCTGCCGTTCTGCACGGTCCTAAAATAGTTCAGTGCTGCAACTTCGCAACGCCCTCAGTGCCAGACGATTTTCACTGGAAGATGAAACTTAGCAGGGCTGCAGAGTCGATGGATTTTCGATGACTCCGACTCCCACTTCTACTCCCACCCCGGGCAGATCTGTCGACTCCGACCGACTTCAACTTCGACTCCGACTCTGCAGCCTTGCCAGGTCTGCGGAGTCGATGGATTTTCGGCGGGACTCCGGTTCGCAAAATCGACTCCGACTCCGGCCCCGGTCAGAACTGTCGACTCCGACCGACTCCGGACTCCGCAGCCCTGCTCCAAAGACCTCTTTACTTGTATATATTGGATTTTTCTTAAAGGGACCCTCCCACCTTTAAAAAAGTTTATGAATTGGCATGAAAGTGATGTCGCTCGGTTCAGAAAGAGCGAAAACGAATATCTACCAAATTTCACCGAAAAATATTCACCGGTTTTCAAGATATTAGACTTTTACTTTTGTTTACTTTTTGGGATCTCCGCTGTTCCTAGCGACTTTATTTAAAAGTGCGGCATTTGTTGCGCGCAACGCAGCATATACCACCGCGTGCTACAAAACGTTTTAGTCAAACATTTAACGGACGTTCGAAAGCCTGATGACGTCATCAGATTTAAGTGCCTATACCAATACATTGTGGCACTTATTTGCACAGATGTCAAAATCAAACTCAAATTTCTTTGCGATGAAGTAATTGCTGGAGAAACGGTTTTCACGGCACTGATTTTCAAAGAACGTCCATCAAGATGGCTATCTCAACTCAAATCTAATGTTAAGGTGGGACAGTCCCTTTAAAGGGCATCTGGGGTCAGGTCGCTAACATCATAACATGACCTCACCATTATAAGCCTCTATGTCATTGCGGGGAACTATGGAAACTGTTATTTTGGCGCCGGAAATGATATCAAATCGAGTTAGCGAGTCGCAAAAGCCATCAATGGACTCAGGAAGACCATTGAATCGAATAATAGGTATGCAATACAACCTCCTTCAACCAACTTCGTGACCTTAGTGACTTTAATCTGACTGACCTTGACCTGAGGTCCACACTCGAGTTGACCTTAGGTATTCATCCACCAAGCAAAGAATATAGCATTTGACGTGCTGAAGTAAGAAGAGCCCGTTAGTGCGGAAATCGCGGCTCCGAGATTATTTTATAGGCGAAGTGATTTGTTTCTTTGTTTGTTTTGCTGGGTTAGGCCCTTTCGGTCTGACGAGACCAGTTCAGAGCCGGAACGATGATAGGCAGTGGCGGTGAGACAACTTCAATTAAGGGGAACTGCCGACTTTTGATCCCATTCTTTCCATGCAACGCCCATGGGGCTAATGTTAAAATGCCAAAATCAAAGGGGGTACGGTACTCCCCCCCGTTCCGCCGCCTATGATGATTAGAATTAGGGGAGACATTGGTCTTGGCAGGCACTCTAGTGAGTCGCCGCCCGCCGGGGCTGAGCCCGTCCGAATGGACGGGCCGACCAGCCTCCCAAGTAGGTACAGGTCTCGCGAGATTAAGCGGTAGGTTTTGCACTTTTACATTTCCGGTTATATCTCAGAAACTAATCGATCTACGATGAAGCCATTTTACACGATCATGGCCGGCTTGTTACCCAACAAGTCGATCGCATCTTCAACACTTAAAAGCTTAAGACGACGAAGATATAGCCTGAAGTACACTAAATTTTCTAGGTGCAAAACCTACCGCTAAAACCCGCGAGACCTGTACGTATGTACTCTATGCACCCGGTTACGGGTGTGCTCTGGCGGAGCTGCCCGCATGGGATAAAGTTGCCCGTCCAGCCCGGATCAGGGGGTTGAGGCGTGGAGGAAAAGGATTTGACTATCCTGAGGATGGAAAAGATGGAACAGTGTGTTATCAAAAGATGGTGATGCGTGCATTTTACGCCGGCATAAGAGCTTGGCGACTCGTATGCACGTCCTCTGCCGAGACAAAATGTTCTTACCCCAATGGTCCGATTACTTCGTTGAGGACAATATGGACTTACTGGACGTTCCCGACACCATAACTTCGTTTTAACGCACCGCACCCAGCCGTTCAATCCCCAAATTCGATTGATCTTGGCCCGCAGTTTACCACAGGGATTAGCGCCCAACCCTCCGCCGTCCTATCTCACCAAGCTTCACCACTCCGCCGCTAGGTGGCCAGCCGTGGTCGCTTACATCAAAGGCGCCGACGGAGAGTTGCCGATCCAGGAAATCTCTAATCCATGATATAGATGACTAGGTTCACAAAGTTTCGCAAAAATCGGAGGAGGTGAGGTTCAAAATGATCATTTTTTGTCCCACTTGACGTGGAATGCCCCCATACATATATCTGCGTTTTTAACCATTAGATGAAACATTAGATAATTGTGCTTTGCCCTAAGAGTCTATAGCAAGCCTCTGTTGCTGCATCATCTACGATTGTTAGTTGCTGACGCCTGGGAATTTAATAGGTAGGTAGTAGGTACCTAGGTACTAGGTAATAATTTGGTACCAGAACAAGAATGGATGCCTAATGCTTATTTTGATAATCAGACAGGTATTTTTTACTTGTTCTAGTATTCGCTACACAATGATTTGTCAATACCTATCATTTTAATTTGTGTCTGTCAAATATCAGTGGTACGCCAGTCGCCAACCTTGCGTGGCCTATCTAGGTCTCATTTCGGTATTTGCTGTCAACTGAATTCAGGCAGCTTATGTGGGGAAATCAACATACATTTGTTTTTCAATAGAAAAATATTTCTCATTAAGTGTTTCGCAAACCTTTGGTTATAGTTTTTGTTAATGTCAATTTATAATTGGTCCAATGCTAAGGAAACAAAATAATTCCTTGTTGATAACTGATAGTTGACTTGATAGGTAGTTATTGGTATGTCTTAGCACATACCTCATCATTGCATGTTGTTATAACTTACAGTTATTAACTTGAAGCTGCTCACTGCTTTGTTAACTATTGTGATGCCAATTGTTCTTGTTCCTTATTGATTTTTAAAAACAATTTTTGAGACAGTTGCTGATGATAATGAGTGTTTTGCTTGATGTGACTATGATAAATATTGCCATTTTGATCAGTCATAGAAATTTACACTCCAAAAATAATCTAATATTCTTTGTTTTTTGCATGCACATTACACATGTACTTATGGCTATCTTGGTGTTTTGTTTCAGACACAATGGAGAAGGGCATGGCGGAATCCTATGCTGCTGGGGTTGCAGCTGACAGAGTGAACCAGGCTACCAGCACAATATTCTTTGACAAAGGAATGATCAGGTCAAAGATAGTCCTCCTGAAAATTGCAGAGGCGGTAAGACTGAAATTCCACCATGCTTATGAGTTTGTACTAAGTGACATCAATTTTAGTCAGTATGTGATACAAAACAAAACAGTGCCTGCTAATTCAAGTTGTATTGCAGGATGCAGTTTTCTCTCACGATCCACGTTAGTTATAAGTTTGTCTCTATTTCACTCCTTCATTTTATCAGTGTGACTAAAACATGCAACTCAAGTGCATTGTATATGGAAACATTGACTGTGAATATCAACAAACTTAAGTGATATCCAACCATCCATAATTTAGTGCTATCAACTGGAAGTATTAAACATCAGTCCAAGTGGATGTTTGCCGATAATTTCATGTTTGAGATAGTCTCAACTGTTATGTCTCTGTCTTTGGCTGTTTTCTGTGTTGGTGTTGCCGCTGCCTGATGGCATTGTTGGTCAAATAAGTAAGCCCTCAATAAGTTGGTAATCTGGTCATAACTCATTGGGAGCAGGCATAAAACGCCCTTCTCTGCCTGGCTCTGGTCATGAGTCACTTAGTTTAGTGGCAGGTGCATTGGAAAGATGGTAAAGTAGGTAGGTACTTCAGGATTTTACGTCTGAGAGATCCGAGGCTTACCTGCCAACAGAAAACCCACTGGCTGCCAGTATTTTTATTTCTGAAAGTATCCCACAATTTGAATCAACCTTGCAAGAAGATAGTCGCTGGTGTGAAAATATATCAGTTGGGCTGGCTGATGTTATTTTTACAATGATATCAGCAGTTATTTTTCACGTAGCTGGCGATACCTTTTTTGGGGCGGGGGAACCTAGTGGTGGTGGGATAAGGTGGGAGGGGGCGACTTAAAGGAAATAGTTCACTTTTAACATGGGGTTTTGAACTGGAATAGCAGTTTCGTAGCTTGAGCTGAGACTAGCACAAATCAGGAGCTTTTACGGCTCAACGATCATCCTAGACGAAGATATTCCATTTCTCGTTCCGAAAAGAGTGCCTTGCAGAGGAATGTGTGCCTTGCACAGGAATGCAGCCACGTCATCGTCAGCCAATCAGCATGCTGCTTACAGCCAATGCAGCATGCGTACGTTTGAACTACGCAATATGATTGGTCAACGCGTAATAAGCTTCCGCGTCAAACACTATTTTACATAGAATATAGTTCGTCCTATATTAAAATATAGAAAATAATTGTTTTTACAAAAAGGTTTTATTTTATTTTCTTATCATTTTGAGCATAACAAATCATAAATCCATAGGAAAATACTAATTTCAGGAAAGTGAACTGTTTCCTTTAAGGCAAAAAGTAACCACAGCCAGCGATTTTTTTCTGGTGGTAAAACTGTCCTCTGGTCCAAGCCATGTACCCCATATTGGCTTGTGAACATGCTGTTGGCATTGCTACTTGTGCCTGTTAATCCGTGAAGCTGGGTGTTTGCCTCTCTTATCACTTCCTACTGAATCTTGTAACTGACAGTCGTGAACAATAGCAGAAAAACACACCTTCCATGCGCACGTGCAGCATATCGTAGCCCGGACATGGAAAAGAGCTTTCCATGTCCTTTCCATGTGCTTTCCATGTTCCATGGAAAGAGCTTTCGTAGCTCTACAAGATGTCAGGCTTCCACTTTTTCCAATAAACCCCTGTCATCAGTGACAAAAACCAAGAAGCCTGAACAGAGAAGCCCTATCTGACGGCTCAGAGCTTTTGGCGACTTTGAGATATGCTCCCGATATCGATCCTAAGCCGCCTTGAAGCATCGCCTGCCCTTCTGGCTGGGAAGTCCGCAAACCAATTGGCACTTTTCATTTGTGAAGAATAGATTGGTTGAGTTCTGACAATGCCCGGACTGTGTGTCTGGTGTCGGCGGCGACCGTGAGCAGAAGACACCCAGTAAATGCGCCGTGACCGATCGATTACCTATCATTGCAGGTGATGAACCTGATCTGCATAATCTGCGTGGCCTGCGCGTTCAACCCCTACGTCTCTCAGGCGACCTTTCTCGAGTTTGTCGCCTCGACCGGTATCATCGTGGCGGTGATTCTGGGCGTTCTGTACGTGTTTCACATCAGAGAGAAGGTTGCCCAGCTACTGCGACTGAACTTTACGGTAAGCCAGCCGAGACAGGAGATCCCGCTCTACCCTTTTGTTTGCTCTACCACCCAATGGATGTGGTGTTCGATCATATTCAGATGGAAGTCCCATATCTTGGAACAATTATTCTCAAGTGACCTTTCACGAAGGCATCTTTCACCGTTTTAGAAGTCTAACTCGGCCATGTCTGCCACGTCTTGTTTGCAGGAGTGTGTGTTCGCGGCCGTCTGGTGCTTCTTCTTCTTCGCAGCGTCTACAGCGTCCGTGGTGCACGGCAGCTCCTACCAGTACCAGCAGGCGCTGATTGCCGCGGGCGTGAGTGACCGATACCCCGCTGATAGACATGGAGGGTGCATGAAAGTTACTGCTGACGTCAGCTGAAAATAAGGAAACTGAGGGATGGGATGCGGGAGAGGCATTGATTGGGCGTTACCACGTCCTGTCCACTGTCGCTACTCTTTTCCTGTCTTGTAGAACCGCTATCTTTGTGGCCGACTACTGTCTCAACCTTCTTATGTTTTATTTTTACTCTGAGTACCTACTTTTGTTATCGTTTGCACAGCTAAGCTGTGGTGTGAATGTGTGCTGTCTTTCATGCGTCTTGGCTGCTGACTGTGAGGCTGTGCCGCTCCTACGGTTGTGCTGTCGTCTGTAGCTTGCTGTTCCTACGACTGTGCTGTCGCCTGTCACATGCCGCTTTTATATCTGAGCAGATCGTCTGTTGGCTGCCGTTTCTATTCTACGCCGGTCCAGACGTTTGTAAACTGTCGTTTCGATGTCTGTGTTGACGCGATCTCCTTGCTCATGTCGCTCTTTCTGTCCCTGCCGCCAGTTTTTCGGCTACCTGTCGATGGTGCTGTACGGCATCGACGCGTTCCTCATGTTCCACGCCTGGAGGACCGGCCAGACGGCAGCGGCCCAGCAGGCCTCTGAGCAGGTCACCACGCCGGCCTACTAAGCCACCCGCCGCCGGCCGCCTCCGTGTCGGCTCAGCGCGGCCGGCCAGAGGGCGCCCTCGGCGCGCTGCCGCCCTGGGCAGACACCGGCGCGGCCGGCCACCGGTGGACACTCTGCACTGCCCGGAGTCCGGCACCCACCGCACGATAGGTCAGCCATCCACGTGTGAGCGGCGGGGACCACTTTACGGGATATGGCTAAATCCTGATCGGCGACGTGACACGAGGACACCTAAAATGCCCTTATTTGATAGATCTGTTGATTATTGTTCGTTGTTATTCGTTTGGTGGGCATCTGCGGAGTTCTAATTTGGAGTATCTTTTTCACTGCTCTTTAATTCAGATTCACTGTCACCAAGAACGTCGTTTACAATTTTGTCGAGTAAGCAATAACATAGCCCGGAGAAGGACAATTCTAACGAATAGTGTTTGTCTAATGAAACAACAACCTGCGGTTACTTTTCGATGCTAGTGCGTGATAGCCGTTCCAAAAAGCACAGTTGCTCAATGTTACATTCCCAATGAGACTTCTTTCAAGCGGTGGCCACTCGCACCTGCACTTTGCACCAGTATGGGTGTGGCTTTTTGCGAAGTAAGATTGGTTTGGTAATTGTTTGGACTCTGTTAATTACCGCATGAGGGCTTATAATGTTGTCAGCTGGTACTAAACGCGCTGAACTCCTCATTGTAGCAGTATGTCAGAATTGGCCTGGTTTGACTCTGAGGGGGTAACGGTGGAGCCCAGTCTAGCTTCGGCTGTTTATCAACGAAGGGGTATCGCAGGGTAGCCTATTAAGCCCACTGTTTTTGGACAGTGCCAGCCAAGGACGCTTTATATCTTTCGTTTGGCAGTAAATTAAACCGCACACGGATCGAAGTGTCACCAGACACCAGTGAAAGTCACCAGGCTGCCACCTATTTTGTTATTGCTTTACGCACTGGACCTTTATGACCGATCATTTGCTGACTTTGTAATCGCTTTACCGTGATATGTGATAGTTTCGCTGAGGCATTTTAACTAATTGCCGTCATTCTCGATCAAGATCAAACTTTGGGTTCCATAGGACTTTTGGGACCCATAAGACTTTACGTACACATTTAAACGATTAGAAAAAACCGGGTTCCTACTTCCTAGTGTAGCCTGGTGGTGCCATTGGTCTCACTCAATCCAACAATAGCTTACATGTGTAGTTCAGACGATGATCAGGCAGTTCGTGGTTTTAGAAAGCATAGCAATCGGCTGCGTTAGCCGTTATTTATCTGCGAGGTTCACCTTATTGTTCGTCATTTCGTTGCCATGCAGTCCGTCGCAGCTACAATTACAACGATAAGCCGCCATGGCGGCAGCTTTCCCCCGAGCCTTGTAAAGCTTGTGTGCCTCGTTTCTGTAGTGTTTTCGCGCAGGACCAGTCGATCGTATAGGAGCGGAGGAGATAAGAGAAGTTCGATGTTGTCTATTGTGTGTAGCTTAGCGGCCAGTTGGTGCGATGGTGTGCTGTAGGTACCCTGCTCCAAAATCCCTGTCGTGGTGTAGTGCACGCGTTGCTCCTCTACAACCGGTAGATCGCTTTAGTCCAGAACGGCAAGTATCCGCCGTGGAATCACATCTGTGTGTTGGTGCTTCCTTTTCAGCGTGTTTTGAAATATGCTGGTAGTGGTACAATGTGGGGTTTACCGCATTACGTTTTCGTTTCTTATTGTATTGATAGCCGCGGGGCCAGACAGTCAGGTGCTTTACAAATTTATTTAATGGTTGTGCTTGGAGCAGTGGTAGTCGAAGTAGTACTCGTTCGCACTTTTCTGTACATTCGTATTTATGCAGTGTGTACACCCGCTACGGCAACCATTGCCCACGTGGTACAATTATATTAGCTGTCATGATCGTAGCATCGCGACCACATATCAGCTGTGGCGTGTGTAGAGTGTTGTGCTTTACGGCGCCGAGTCCGGTCACCAGCGTAGGCACCGCGGCGTGTCTGCCCACCGGCGTGTGTCTCCGGCCACTGCACCGCCGGCGTGTGCGGTCCCCAGGCAACCAGCCGGCCGGCCAGAGCTTCGTGGCGTCGTACACTGCATGCTGTCGTGATCGTGCAACAATAAATGGACTCGGTATGTGGCGCCGCTGTGTGCTCCTTGCTGCGGAGGAAGGACGCGTCGAGAGAGACCAACGGATGGTCGGTGGGGCACTGGGGGGCAGTGAGCGTGCTTTTGCTGACTGTTTCTGATCGGTTTGTTCTAATGACAGCTTCGAACTGATTAAATCTGCCAGACACGAATGTACCAAATGATTAAGTATTTCTGCATTGGGCTCACTTACACTCTAAACGATAGTTGGGTGATGTGACAGAACGGCATTAGCATGATTTTGTATTGTTGGAAAAGAATAAAAAGTTAGTTTGGATAGCACGCTATGCCCACAAGGTATCAAGTAACAGGTTGCACACACGTTGCTAGCGATGATGAGTATTATCTGCAGCAACAGATGTTGTCATTGCTTCCTCCAACTGGGGGAGCCCACACATGAATATTATTGGGCCACAGTCTTTGGATTGAATGGTGCAGCCAACAGCCTGATGATAGGGTCACAACAATCTTACAGGACTAGATGAATGATGGCATTGACAATGAAATCACTTCAGGTTAGCCAAGGTTTGCACAACATGACATAGGTACTAGAATAGCCATTCAATGGCAGACACACAAGTTATGATCTCGGGAAGCTCACTTGCTTCCTTCTGCCTCCTGTGGGCTGGCACCTTCATTGTTCTTGTTTCGTAAAGCATACAGAGGCATCCCCATGAACCTGGGCATGTCATCCTTGGGCACTGCCTGTTGCTTGGTGGTGCTCTCTTTTCTCTTAAACACAAAAGAAGGTGCCCTCAGGGCCTGTGAAACTCTAGGTTTGGACTTCTGGTATTTGAATGCACCCTTTCCTGGAAGACAGGCAAATCCTTGAGGATACAGCCATCTGTACAGGAAGAACCAGGCCACGATTGCAAGCATCCCACCACTCATCTTCTGCACCATGGTGTGGAAGTAGAGAACTGTGGCCACCAGCATCACATCCCACAGGACAGAGAAGAAGGTCAGAACAACAAACATCACTTTGATGTGGGGTGTGTACTTGAAGTAGTTGATCTTCATCTTCTCATAGTCTTCATCAGATATGTGCTGAAGAGGTGTGTCATCAGCATCATCTTTGTTCTCTGTCTTTCTGGCAAAGTCTTCATTCCTGATCATGTCCTTGATACCTTCCCAGCCACAAATTGCTTTTGCTTCTTCCATAATGAAGAGGCTGTTGAACATCAGGAGAAAGGTGTGTCCTGAAATGTCAAACCCTGACCACTTGAACCCTGCATCAACACAAATCTCCTTTGTAGCAAACTTGCTTTGTGTCATTGACTTTGATCTGCACACACCGAATCTGCTTTCAACATATACAAACATGCTTGTCATGACATACCAGGCCATGGTTGCACAGACAAGTCTGGTGACATGCTTCTGCAGTCTTGGCCTTTGTCCACAGCAGTAGATATTGGCTGTCAGCATCATAAAGGCTCCAACAACTGTGAATGTCCATCCCCACCCAAGCTTCACAAAATACTGGTTCAAAATATTGTGCTTGTTCGAGAAGTACGACTTCGGCAGGGGCAGAAAATCTCCAACTGTAGATCCAACAAACAAAAGGAACAGATATAATCCAATCTTCAACTCTGTATCAAAAAACAAAACCTTTCTGCATAGGTGGATGATAACCAGCGAAAAAATATGCTGGGGGCTTGATTGCTCTGCAACAGGTTTCGAGCCACCTTGCGAGTGATTTGGTGCGCTTGGCCGGAATTTCAATCCAGCAGCTACCTTTGAACCACTTCTAGTACTTCTCTGGGCCATTTTCGAATCAGTCCATACAAGGAACTCTGGACTCTCGAAAATCACTAGCAGATCTTAGAAGACAACAAAAAACTGACAGTATACAGTAATATAGGGCCTTGCAGTATACCGAGTTCACTGGCACATCACTACCTACGAAAACAATTCATATTTCCATGACGCAAGTACATTATAGAGTTCAGTGCGCAAGTACTACGCCAGATTGCGCCAGATATTGGCCTTGATGCGTCATTTCTGTACGTAACTGATTTCATTCATTCACTAAAGCGATGCAATGTTTTTACTAACTAAAACGCTGCTATATTTTGAGCAGCATGATTAGACCACAAACATAAGGATCACTCCCAGAGACTGAAAACGATAGTGGCAATCTTTTTCTAAAAATTTTCGATCCTTCAGAGAACAAATACGACATAAAAGTTCGCTTTCTGACAATCAACATTCAGCATTTATTCCATAATGTTCAACGCTCAAAAACGCTCTGTCTTCGATACATCGACGACCACGGCAAATACGTGTAACGCGATGCACTAAACACTTCGAAAACGCTTCACACCTCACATCATATCGGCAACCGACCTAAGCCACGAATAATCAAAACAAAATAGAAAATGCTCACAGTCTACAATGGAGTTCACTTTACAGCATGCCTCGGGTGATCACATGGTCCGGTTTCTCGGGTATTTCGGCAAGCCCGGGTGGGCGGTCTTCGGCCACCTTAGCCTTGCATAGGTTGACGATCGACTGAAACAGACGCGACGTGTCATTCACACCTCTGGAGGTATGTCATCAACTTAGTAATATGCGCGGCAGATGCGTGCATTGATCTGAAAAAGAGGAGCTGGGATATGACCCATGAATCCACCATGATCGACATCACAACATTATCAATGGCGAGACACTTAACATTAGGTATATTATTTTGCACCCGCACCATTTTGAGGTTTGTCTGTCTCTTTCCCTACTACCACAAACTGTAACAAACCATTCAACAGACTTTCTTCCCGGGTCAATAGACTGCAGAGAAGGAACAGCAGCCTCACGAACAAAATAAGCCGGTGTCTGAAGAGGCCGATAAGCCGTCACTCCATAGCCAGCTGCGAGCCCCTTACCTTGAACGTGCGTGGTTCCCAGATAGCCAGGTCGGCTAGCGTTTTCCGATTGAGCAGCACGTTACAGCGCATCAGGCCCTGGCGCAGCACGGGCAGCGAGGTGCCGTGCTCGGCACAGCCGGCCTCCAGTCTCTGCTCCCACAGCTGCAGCACGAGGGTACACAGCGGGGACGTGACAGCGCAGACGCACAGGAGAGAAAAACATACCACCGCCCGGCTCAAAGCCTCGCTTCAAGGCGTCGTATCCATCAGGGAATTTTTTTTTTTTAAAGCACAGCTTTCATACAACTTGCAGTTCAAGTTAATCACTTTAAATGTTTCTTGATGGCTTTTGTAATATTTAAAAAAAAAACATCAAAAGTGCCCTACCATATAACGGGCAAAAGTTAACTCAGACTGAACAAAAAAATATTGCTTTAAAGGCAAAATCCAGGGCACCAAATAACATAATTGGGCAGAAGTTATTAGGTACTGGTGAACGCAGGGCCAGTTTGATCAAACTAAATTCCATTCACTTAGATAGAGAAAATTTAAGTGAGTGACGAGTGCCTACCTGAACCATGTCCTTTTTCTTCTGCTGTCGCCCCACGAGTGCATAGCTCAGAGCCTTTTCCACCCTGATGATGGCTGTCTTATAGCAGTTCCGAGCCCTGCCAAAGTAATGCTGAAACGAGGCGCATTGAAGTAAAAAAGTGTAAGCAACAGCATAGGTGCATCATGCCGCCAGATGCCTACATGCTTGTCAGTATCAGGGCTGCGGTCGGAGCCGGAGTCGGTCGGAGTCGACGGTTCTGCCCGGAGTCTAGGTTGGAGTCGCCAACATCCAACCGACTCCGACTCCGGAGTCGGTTTGGCTCAAAGTCATGCCTCAAACCTGTTTGCTTGACGATATTACGTTGGTTAGCCTTCAAAATAAGATTTTGTCGACGCGTAGGCCATACCCCTGTTTTGGACAAGCGTTTACATTTAAAAATGCGGAAGACAGCGTCTGTGCCAGAAGCTGCTTTCATTTCCGAAAATTATTTGAAATGTAGGTATTTTTGCAATGCAAGGCCTTGAAGTCATTTCAAGAAGGCACAGTCATTTCAAGGAGGATAGAAAGAATGTCAGGAGTTGGAGCTGGAGTCGGAGTCGATTTTTGAGGTTGGGGTCGGAGTCACCAAAAATCCGTCGACTCCGCAGTCCTGGTCGGCATGGCATGGAGGGATAATTCATTTTAGATCAGTGACTCACATGAAAAAATGCCAAGGCACTGGGTGTGATAATTGCTAATAATTATATGCATGAAACTGTAGACCAGTCTATTTTTCCATTAACCACTTCACTTGCAATAACATCACACTCACAGCAGATAGGCGAAATGTCCGGCGCCGGCGCCAGAACTTGTCTGGTTTTGCAGCACGTATCCAAGCTGGGCTTGTTAAAAACACCATCCTATGACTTCATAAATGACTCTGAAGACTCTGTAAAACAAGCAGGGTGGTTAATAATTCACATTCAAATAACCAGCATGCAGAAAGATGGCAAAATGCCAAATGTGAGCCATGAAAAAGATAAAATGAAAATGCTTGCAAAATTGCATTTTCATATACAAATAACCTGAATACTTAAATGAGCAGATTCAATATTGACAATGGGACACTAAAGAAGTCCAGGCTAAGCACAGCTAGTTGCACTGCTCCAAGCACTTCTTTATATCTGATCAGGTGACTGTGACTCGAGGTGAACATCAGGCAATCAGGAACAGAAATCACAGGCACTGAGAGGATTTAGATGACAAAATTTTAGAGTGCGCATCAAAGCATTCAAAGCAAAACACCATCCAAATAAGCTGATCTTGACTCATGCATCTTCGACACCTAAAAAGCTTAAGACGATGAAGATATAGCCTGAAGTATACTAAATTTCATAGGTGCTAAACCTGCCGCTAAAACCCGTGAGACCCGTACTTCACTACCTACCACATTGGTTTGATAAAGGCCAGTGGCAGAAAGCTCACCATTCAGAAATATACTTTTTGTTTGTACCTACATTTTTAAGGTCAAGAAAAAGGTCAACTTCTCTTATTTGTCAAATTATAAACAAAATAGGTGTTAATGTTCCTCCAGACCCCAAAACAATCAATATTATTACCTTTTATCATAGTTATCATAGTTATCATAGTTATAGTTAGTTATCAATTTGTCATAGGGTTTAGCAAAGTTAAAGGTAGGTACCTAAGATTTCTTGAATGTCTGAAATTTTGTTAATTTGGGTGGAACTGACTAAAGAAAAATTATTTTGCACTCTCATCCCAATTTTTCAAGAGCTATTTTCCACTCCCAGTTTTACTGAAAGCAAGCATTTGCATGGATGGTTGTTTTACATCCTACAATCTGTCACACTTGTATACCCATAAATGTGCGCCATTAAACATCCTTTTCCACCCCGTTTGGGCCTTATGTGACTGACAGTTTTCCACTCTTATCCCCCTTCTGGGTGAAGAATTCCCCCTCGGACACCCAAGCGAAAATACAATTTTGGGACACTGGATTTCTCCTATGGCAATTTAAGCACTTTCACAAATAGGCGGTGACACTCAGATAACTCGGAACAGGAAACAGCTACAGCATGATGGAAAATGCATTCTAATAAAACTAATAACAATCTTTTTATGCAATACATGTGCTCGGATTCCACCTAAGGCCAGTTACTGGCTGGTGGGCACATGTAGTTACCAGAAAGCAGCTTTTGATTCCACAAATCAGAGAAGCATGCTAGTAAGTAGGTAACACAGGTAACACCTTGAATGTAATGGTATCAATACCATAAAGTAAACTTGATGGTACACTCGGGGGCAGATTGATGTTCCACCAATCCCTACCCATCGGGCTCCCATGGCTCAGCACTGGCTACTGCCAGTGGCAGCACTGGCAGCACTGGCACTGGCAGGCAGTGCTGAGCAGTGCTGAGGGCAGGCAACACTGGCAGCAGCCAATGCTGAGCCATGGGAGCCCGATGGGTGCAGAGTGGTGGAACATCAATCTGCCCCCGAGTGTACCTACGTTGGGTTGATGATGTTTATGTGGCGAGTGTGCAACAATTGCAAGAGTGAAGAGGGTACCTACTGTTTTTTACCCTTCTCATTCCGTGCATTGAGTCATCCAATGAGCATATTACAGTTCAACCAAAAAAACATAATAAATATAAACACAAAAACCCAACCCACACACATATAACGAGCAAGCAGCACACACCAAGGCTATATAAACCGCACACACCCAGGGTTGCCAGATCCAGAATGGTCCTTATCGCCAAATTCGCCCCTCGAATTTCGCCAAAATTCGCCAAATAGGATGCACTGTATAAGCATACCTACGTTATACGTAGCAGCGCAAGTTGGCGTTCGTGTAACCGTGTTCACGATTCGTTCCAAAGTTCACGATTTACCTATCTCGTTTCTCATATTCATCTACATAACAGCGTGCCTTATGGGAAGGGACAGGGACAGGTTGAAGGGACACTCCCACCTTTACATTAGTTTTGAGTTGAGATAGCCAAATTGGTGGTCATGGCCTGCAAATACCGGTTTGGGCACTTACAACATCGAAAAATGCTTTAATTCGAAGATATGGAATTTCAAACTTGCAGTTTTCGGATTCTAAGGGGCTAATGCATTGGAATGCCCCCTTAGAATTTGTGACGTCAGCGGAGATCTAACGATTTTTAAATATTAGACTAAAACCATCGTTAACACGTGGTGGTATACGCTGCTTTGCGCGCAACGTGTGCCGCACTTTAAGGCTGCCAAATTATTGCTTCCAAAAAAAGTCGCTAGTAACAGGGGAGATCCCAAAAAGTAAACAAAAGTAAAAGCCTAATATCTTGAAAACCAGTGAATATTTTTCGGTGAAATTTGGTAGATATTCGTTTTCGCTCTTTCTGAACCAAGGGACATCACTTTCATGCCAATTCATTAACTTTTTTGAAGGTGGGAGGGTCCCTTTAACCCTCGCCGGCACACAGGCCATTTTGAGTCCTTCGACGGCACAAGGGGGGGGGGGGGGGGGTTGGTACGACCCCCTGATGTGTTTGGCCCCTGATGGAGCTAGAGCTTCGCGGAAAAAACGAGAGTGTTGCCCGTCACGAGAGGAAGCCAATAATACCCAATTTTAAGGTCCTAGGTCATCGGTTGACCTTCCAGGTCCGGTCAATGACCCAAAAATCGGGAATATCGGGACCTGTTAGAAAGTCGTAAAGCGTGACTGCTAAGGGGTTTTCCGGAGTGCTGATCACGAATATCGTGCTAGTTTTGATCACAGATGATGTCGTTAAACGTTTAGACCAGGTCGGGTCAGGTCAGGTCGGGTCAACCGGTAGGGGTCGTGGCGGGTATTCGTATAGTACCTGTCATCCGCTTCTGACAGCTTCGTAACATGTTACGAAGGCACCAAAACTACTTCGTAAATGTGAAACAGTCAAATTCGCAACACGCCAAGCAACCGCTCCCGCCATTCCCGCAACACGCCACAAAGTTGTTTACAAGTAAGCAGAAGATATTTTCATCAGGAACATTTTATATTTGAGTGCCTAATATGAAACGTTGGAAGGTTAAATTAATCAGATTGCGAAATATTTCGTAACAATGTTTTTTGCTTTGTTTTGTTTATTTTTTAAAATAATATTCGGTGATTTGGAGGTGAACTCTGGAAATTCGCCAATATTTGACGTTTTATCGCCTATCGCCAAACGCCGTGCTTCTATCGCCAATGACTTTCAAAATTCGCCAAATTGGCGACATATCGCCAAGTCTGGCAGCCCTGCACACACCAAGCACACACTCAAAAAGTTTCCCCGCGTTCGATGTCTCTCTGACGACGAAAATTCCATGTCGTCCGGCCAATCCCGTCCAAGGTCAGCGGGGGCTAAGCTGCGGTTCTGGAACATCATTGGTCGGACGGCGTAGAATCTTCGCCGTCCGGGAGACATCGAACGCGGGGCTGCTCGTACTGCTCAGGAATGCATTTGTCTTTGCCGCACCAGAAATGTAGCAAATATTTTCTCAAGTCTAATAAAAATGAATGAAATACGATGGGACATGATGGGACTTTTCCATATTTTCGGACTTTTATCGAGTTGAAATGAATTGAATAAAAGTGTGTGCTTATTAATGGGGGGAGAGTTTTGAATTTGAACCGGAAAATGTCGCAAAGTTACAAGCAGATTGCAAAAACTTCAAATTTTTTAATCAGTGCAAAATGCTGGTTTCCGGAATGCCGAATTCGCACTAAATATAGGAGTTAAGACTAAATTATTCACAATAGATACGTACTATATCATTATTAAATATTTATATTAAAGCTGCTCATACAATGGTATAGATCACAAAAGATGGAAGTTAAGTGGGCTGAGAGCAGATCAAAGTCATTTGCAGTCACCAATGGAGTCAGGCAGGGTGGTAATCTTTCTCCACTTTTATTCAATGTTTACATTGATGATCTTGAAAGGTTGCAGCAGCTTCAGATCGGCTGTCATGTTAGAAATCGTCCCATTAATGTTTTGGCATATGCAGATGATCTTGTGCTTTTGTCGCCTTCCCGGGCTGGACTACAAAAGCTAATTAATGAGTGTGAAAGGTTCGCAATTGACAGAAATATTAGTTTTAATACCAAAAAAACTGTGTGCATGGTTTTTAATCCTAAGGAATGTGCTGCTTCTGCACATTTATCCAATTCTCAGGCTCCTAGCATTACCTTAAATGGTACCAGACTATCTCTCGTAACCCAGGTTAAATACCTTGGCCATGTGCTGGAACCTGACCTAAATGACAGTGGTGATATGAGGAGAACCAAGAGGTCGCTGTACTATAATGTCAATATGCTTCGTGCTTTGGTGGGGCAGGCAAGCAGTGAGATTCAGATTAAACTGTTCAAGGCCTATTGTACAAACCTTTATGGCTGTGAACTTTGGGATTCCTCAGGTGCTAAAGTGGCTTATCGTGCATTGTGTGTGGCTTACCACTCGTGTGTGAAAAAACTGGTCGGTGTTCCTAAATCCCATAGAAATCATCCTCTCTGTTACTCATTGAATATTCTTACATGTCCAATGCTTATAGCTAATAGGAAGATTATGTTCTATAAAAGACTGCTGTGCAGCAACAATGCTATAATTAAAGCGGTCCTGTCAAGTGAGATACGGTTCTGAGATAGTGAGATAGTGAGATAGTGAGAATCTCACTTCTGAGATAGTGAGATTGGCCGTGGAGGCATCCTGATCAAAGACTACCAGTGTCTACTCCGGCAGTATGGTCTCATGGGCCTCGAGATCAGTTCTGTGACTCGCTCTGATCTTGTAAATGTGTTTGCGTCACAGTTAAAGCGCATTGTTGAGCGCTGACGTCCCATGTATGGGACTGCTGTGGTGTGGTGTGTGTTCCATGCGTGCTCACATATGTTTCAAGGATGGAACGAAATAAAGGGCATTATTATTATTATTATTATAGTAAAGTAATCTTGGTACTGTATGTAGGCAATAGGTTATTGTATGTAAGCAATAGGTAATCGGTCCCAAATTTGAGCTTTCCAATGCAACATTCATTATATATCTAGTTTAAAAGTGTTATTCCTTAAAACTAAAAAATGGTAGGTAGGTATGCACTATGCATCCCTGCTGTTTATGTTTCCCCTCGCCGCCCGCCGGCGCAGGGGGAGGGGGGCGTTGATGCAACCCCCTAAGGTTTATTTCGCGAATAACTCGCGTAAAAAGCGGCTGATCGCGACAAAACTTTTAGTACCCTCGCATTGATCAATTTTACGCCTACCCTGAAAATTTCATGACCCTGACCCAGTTCTGACCTTTGACCTGTAGGTAACCTACTTTCCGAGCCCCGAGGCCATGTTTAGCCGGAATGGCGATTTGGCGTATGTCGGCTCGCATATTACCCGCGCGTTTGCAAGCTGTTGTGGTTTCAAACGCTCAAACATGTGATTTGATGTTGCTCCCATGCATGAGGGTGAATGTCAAGGTCACCTGAAGGTCAGGTCACTGACCTTCGATGACCTCGGTTCACTTTTTCGAGATTCGGCAAATGATCATGACCTTTTAACCCTCGCCCTGGCAGGGGGGGGGTCGATGCGACTCCCCCCCTAAGGTTTTTCGAAGATAGCGTAAAAACGGCGGCGCGCAGCGCCGCCATATTTGGCACAGCCTATGGGGCAACCTTTTTACATATGACCTGAAAATTTTAGATCTGGGTGACCTTACCTTGGGTCAGGTCACCAGGTAAAAAAAAAAAACCGGTACAAGGTCATGGCCAAATTTCAATTTTCTTTTTGCACCTGTCCAACTCACAATTTTGGACTGATTTCCTTCAAACTTTCAGGATGTGCTAAGTTCACCGAGTTGTATAACATATAGTTCGGGTTTTTTGAGGTCACTGACCTGAGGTCAGTTAGAGGTCATTACGTCGTAATGTTAAGCCTATGGGAAAATACTAAATTCGGAAAATACTGGAGATATCCGCTTCGTTCTATCACTTTTGTGCTTTGAAACCACAGTTGCTGGGGTATTTCGCCACCCACCGTTTGCTGGGGGGGGGGGGGGGGCGTTAAACGCCCCCAGCCGATAACTCGAGAACCAATAGGTAGGCGCAGCGAAACGCACGAGGCGGCAAACGAAAGAACGCGACGAGACGCTTCAGATGAGTACTTTAAAGTTGAATTTTGAGGTCACAGGTCGGGTCAAGGTCAGGTCAAACACCTGAAATCGGGCTTTCAGTAGCATGGACTTCAGGACTTCGCAATGGGCGCCTGTCGCCATAAACTCTGTCAAAACGGTGCACAATCCATCTTATAAGGCGTACAAGAGTGTCAGCCCCATATAGGGGTCAGTTAAGCATAGGTCAGGGTCAAGGTCAGGTCAACCGGGTAGGCACATATCCCCGAAAATCAAAACTGATATTCGCAGCCTGTGACACATGTTTTATAAGTAATTTGGGGCGTAGAACACGATGGTGACATTCATTTTATCATATGTGTACGTGTTTGGCTCAAAAAGTTCAATTTAGGAAATTCATGTTTCATGGTTACGAAACATTGCCAAGATTCAGTTCAAGATTTTGGAAAATGCCGAACGATAATCAATAATTGAAGATAGCCATTTGATTGATTATGGTATTGGCAGTCTAAAGGCGTTTACGGCATGTCTGTATGTCTATTTTGTGATTTTATATGATTTTTTGAACATATGCCGTTTTTGGTCGAAAACTCA